TGTGCAACTGGGTCCTGGACTTCCTGACGGGCCGCCCCCCAGGTGGTGAAGGTAGAAAACAACACCTCCCCTTCACTGATCCTCAACAAAGGGGCCCCACAAGGGTGCGTTCCCAGCCCCCTGTTCACCCATGACTGCGTGGCCATGCACGCCTCCAACTCAATCATCAAATTTGCAGACGACACAACAATAGTAGGCCTGATTACCAACAATGATGAGACAGCCTACAGGGAGGAGGTGAGGGCCCTGGGAGTGTGGTGCCAGGTAAATATATTTACATTTACATTTTAGTCATTTAGCAGACGCTCTTATCCAGAGCGACTTACAGTTAGTGAATACATATTTTTTTATACTTAACCCACAACCCTGGCGTTGCAAACGCCATGCTCTATCAACTGAGCTACATCCCTGCCGGCCATTCCCTCCCCTACCCTGGACGACGCTGGGCCAATTGTGCACCGCCCATGAGTCTCCCGGTCGCGGCCGGCTGCGACAGAGCCTGGATTCGAACCAGGATCTCTAGTGGCACAGTTAGCACTGCGATGCAGTGCCTTAGACCACTGCGCCACTCAGGAGTATAACCTCCCACCCAACGTCAACAAAATAAAGGAGCTGATCGTGGACCAGGAAACAGCAGAGGGACCACGCCCCTATCCACATCGACAGGACCGCAGTGGAGAAGGTGGAAATCTTCAAGTTCCACTGCGTACACATCACTGATGATCTGAAATGGTCCACCCACACAGACAGTGTGGTGAAGAAGGCGCAACAACGCTTGGCACCTAAAACCCTCAGAAACTTTTACAGATGCACAATTGAGAGCATCCTGTTGGGCTGTATCACCGCCTGGTACGGCAACTGCACCGCCCACAACCGCAGGGCTCTCCAGAGGGTGGAGCGGTCTCCCCAACGCATCACCGGGGGCAAACTACCTGCCCTCCAGGACACCTACAGCATCTGATGTCACAGGAAGGCCAAAATGATAATCATGGACAACAACCACCCGAGCCACTGCCTGTTCACCCTGCTATCATCCAGAAAGCGAGGTCAGTAGAGGTGCATCAAAGCTGGGACCGAGAGACTGAAAATCAGCTTCTATCTCAAGATCATCAGACTGTTAAATAGCCATCACTAGGCGGCTTCCACCCGGTTACGTAACCCTGCACCTTAGAGGCTGCTGCCATATAGAGTATAGTATTTGATACACTGCTGATTTTGCAGGTTTTCCTACTTACAAAGCATGTAGAAGTCTGTAATTTTTATCATAGGTACACTTCAACTGTGAGAGACGGAATCTAAAACAAAAATCCAGAAAATCACATTGTATGATTTTAAAGTAATGAATTTGCATTTTATTGCATGACATAAGTATTTGATACATCAGAAAAGCAGAACTTAAAATTTGGTACAGAAACCTTTGTTTGCAATTACAGAGATCATACGTTTCCTTTAGGTCTTGACCAGGTTTGCACACACTGCAGCAGGGATTTTGGCCCACTCCATACACACCTTCTCCAGATCCTTCAGGTTTTGGGGCTGTCGCTGGGCAATACGGACTTTCATCTCCCTCCAAAGATTTTCTATTGGGTTCAGGTCTGGAGACTGGCTAGGCCACTCCAGGACCTTGAAATGCTTCTTACGGAGCCACTCCTTAGTTGCCCTGGCTGTGTGTTTCGGGTCGTTGTCATGCTGGAAGACCCAGCCACGACCCATCTTCAATGCTCTTACTGAGGGAAGGAGGTTGTTGGCCAAGATCTTGCGATACTTGGCCCCATCCATCCTCCCTTCAATACGGTGCAGTCGTCCTGTCCCCTTTGCAGAAAAGCATCCCCAAAGAATGATGTTTCCACCTCCATGCTTCACGGTTAGGATGGTGTTCTTGGGGTTGTACTCATCCTTCTTCTTCCTCCAAACATGGCGAATGGAGTTTAGACCAAAAAGCTCTATTTTTGTCTCATCAGACCACATGACCTTCTCCCATTCCTCCTCTGGATCATCCAGATTGTCATTGGCAAACTTCAGACGGGCCTGGACATGCGCTGGCTTGAGCAGGGGGACCTTGTGTGCGCTGCAGGATTTTAATCCATGACGGCATAGTGTGTTACTAATGGTTTTCTTTGAGACTGTGGTCCCAGCTCTCTTTAGGTCATTGACCAGGTACTGCCGTGTAGTTCTGAGCTGAGATCTTACATGGAGCCCCAGGCCAAGGGTGATTGACTGTCATCTTGAACTTCTTCCATTTTTTAATAATTGTGCCAACAGTTGATGCCTTCTCACCAAGCTGCTTGTCTATTGTCCTGTAGCCCATCCCAGCCTTGTGCAGGTCTACAATTTTATCCCTGATGTCCTTACACAGCTCTCTGGTCTTGGCCATTGTGGAGAGGTTGGAGTCTGTTTGATTGAGTGTGTGGACAGGTGTCTTTTATACAGGTAACGAGTTCAAACAGGTGCAGTTAATACAGATAATGAGTGGAGAACAGGAGGGCTTCTTAAAGAAAAACGAACAGGTCTGTGAGAGCCAGAATTCTTACTGGTTGGTAGGTGATCAAATACTTATGTCATGCAATAAAATGCAAATGAATTACTTAAAAATCATACAATGTGATTTTCTGGATTTTTGTTTTAGATTCCGTCTCTCACAGTTGAAGTGTACCTATGATAAAAAATTACAGACCTCTACATGCTTTGTAAGTAGGAAAACCTGCAAAATCGGCAGTGTAACAAATACTTGTTCTCCCCACTGTATATTGAAGCAACATCTCAAGACATCAGTCAGGAAGTTAAAGCTTGGTCGCAAATGGATCTTCCAAATGGACAATGACCCCAAGCTTACTTCCAAAGTTGTGGAAAAATGGCTTAAGGACGACAAAGTCAAGGTATTGGAGTGGCCATCACAAAGCCCTGACCTCAATCCTATAGAAAATGTGTGTGCAGAACTGAAAAAGCGTGTGCGAGCATGGAGGCCTACAAACCTGACTCAGTTACACCAGCTCTGTCAGGTGGAATGGGCCAAAATTCACCCAACTTATTGTGGGAAGCTTGTGGAAGGCTACCCGTAACGTTTGACCCAAGTTAAACAATTTAAAGGCAATGCTACCAAATACTAATTGAGTGTATGTAAACGTCTGACCCACTGGGAATGTGATTAAAGAAATAAAAGCTTAAATAAATAATTATCTCTACTATTATTCAGACATTTCACATTCTTAAAATGAAGTGGTGATGTTACAAATTTGCTAAATGTATGATATGTTACGAATTCTAGCTAGGTGGCTAACGTTAGCTAGCTGGATAACGTTAGCTAGACTAGGGGTTAAGGTTAGGGTTAACTAAAAGAGTTAAAGTTAGGGTTAGGAGAAGGGTTAACTAAAAGGGTTAACGTTAGGATTAGGGGAAGGGTTAGCTAACATGCTAAGTAGTTGCAAAGTAGCAAGTAGCTGAAGAGTTGCGAATTAGGTAAAATGATAATGTTGTCCGTGATTAGATTCAAACTCGCAACCTTTGGGTTGCTAGATGTTCGCGTTGTATGCCTACCCATCCACCCCGACCAACCACCCTACTTAGTTTTTTTCTTAAGTAACCATCTGTCTCATGTAACCATACAAAACGTATCATATCATACTAATTTGAGTATCCTGGAATTACTTTTACTATGTTACGTCTAGTCTATGAGACCAGGCTGTGGTACTGGGTAAAGTTCATGATGCCTTGACCTTAACAAGGGCCCCAGGACCAATAGAAGCAAAATAGCCCCATAACAGCAAAGATCCACTAGCATATTTTACGGTAGATATGGGTGTTCTTTTCGGCATATGCATATTTCTTTTGACGCAAAACCCACCACTGAAGTGCGTGGCAAAAGAGCTCTATTTTCATGTCATCCAACGCCTGGAGTTTGCTAAACGTCATTGGCACTTGGATTGGAACCGGTGATATGATCAGATGACATGAAAAGCTCTTTGGCCATGCACACCAGTGGTGGGTTTTGTGTTGAAGAAAGATGCATATGCAGAAAACAACCCCATACCTGACAATCAATGCCATGGAATGTGAGTATCTTCACAAGTTAGACACTGACAATCCAACGTCAGAGAGGAGAGGTGGTGGCGAAGGTCAAGACAGGTGATGTCACAAGTTTAAAATGCATTGATACCATCATTACTGCCTTTCTATGTCTCTCTCTCCCCCCCCCTCTTGACAACACCTTGTTATTCCCCAAAACCTTATCTCACTCCTAATCTCAATCCATTTGTCGCATTGTCTTGACTGTCACATGTACATTCCAGGAGAGATATCTGAATATTTGAGAAGTAGAGCACGACACTGGCAGTCTGGCTGACACCCAACTTGAAGTGCCCCTGACTTCACTCAAACACCCACATGGACAGCCACACATCCCCCCAGTGCTGCCCCTTCCAATACAACTGTTGGATTTTCAAATCCAAACAACGAGAGGTCTTTTTTTTGTTGTTGTTGAGAGAACCAATCAAAGCTGAAGCCAAATTCGGTGCATATACTGCACTAACAACAGACTCCTGTCCAGACCAGTGTGTCACAGCTTTCCCTCACTGTGTACCATGTGAGTTGCATCAGCCAGGCTACAACACGAGCAGTCACTGTAGCCAATGTAATAACAAAACTACATTGAATTTATCAATCATAACTGACATTAAATTGACATTCTTTATTGACGTCATGCTCTGGCTAAGTTTACAGTCATCATTGGTAGCAAACTCAGTAACCTGGGGCTATGTGGTCCTCTGTAGCCTCACTTTCACTTTTTTTAAGGTCCCAGTTAGTCTTTCATTACTGTCATTGCCACAGGTACTGTATAACGTTCCTGGCAAAACTCATCTAACTTTCTGCCTTGCCAAATGGGTGTTCTTTTTACAGTATTACACAACTTTGAACCCACAACTTGCAACCCTCCGGCTGGGTGAAAAAGGAGGTGTGTTTATTATTTCTAGTTGAGGTGTGCCACTGAATAAATAGAGTGAGGATGGGAGGCTGAGCGTACAGGACGGAGAGGTGAAGACAGGTGCGGCTTCAAGGTAAGGATTCTGGCATTGATGCAAAGAGACATATGGCACAATATGGCCTGCTTTTAAGATATGACATGTATTAAGTGGCGCACATCTCATTGACTAGGCTGGGCTAAGAAGTTAGCTGTTTCACTGCATTTATGACAAATCATGTGATGGGAAGCCAGTGACTATTTATTTTCTTGTTTTCATGCTGCCTAGTAATTTACCAAGGTATGAATTGCAGAGAGTGTGAGGTTGGGGTATCGAACATACATTGTTTATGGACGTTGAAAATACTTTTCTGGATGTTGAAAATACATATTATTTTGGTAATTGTTTCTATGGCCAAATTTCAGCCATACATAATCACTTATATCTACATGTCAATGAAGAAAGCATTATGTGCATGTTCAAAAGCTACATTTCCAATTTTAAATAGGATTTCAGTATGGAATAAAAAATGAGATTGCAGTAGGCCTATGGAATATTTATAATTGCTCCCATCTGTCACTTGCACTTATCAAAAGCATCAGAACTGGCAGTGGCCATCTGCAAAGTTCTGAAGAACCAACATAACACTTCTACAACATTCTCAGTAACAGTTAACAATCAGAATTCATCCCTGTAGTTTCAACATTACATAATTTATTCTACCTCCGACCGGAAATAATTAACTCCGGAATTCATTCATAAATAAAAGAGATAGTAAATGGAGCAAAATAATAACAACCATTTGCATCAGTGAAAACAGTCAAACAAAAATGCATATATATTTACTCACGTTTGCTTCTTGGATGCACACAAAGTAAACTAAAAGGATTCAGTTTTACTGGAGAACCTGACAGATATCCAACAACAGGTGAAGGTGGAGTTTAATGCCAGCCTTTCCCGACAGACATTTTGGTCGCACTCCCCTGGTCAGATGTTGCATGCATGACCAGGGGAGTGCATTCCATGTCAAAGACTGTGTCATCGACTGACAGATTGCTATAACATATGTGGTTAGTTGGTACGTAAAAATCCTATTTGGGTCAAATTAAGATCCTACATCTGTACCAGGACACCGGGGTTAACACCCCAACTCGATATGACTGTGATATTGTATGTGGTTGTTTATCTATCTTAGTTGAATGCACCGACTGTAAGTCACTTTGGATAAGAGTGTGTTCTAAATGACCAAAATGTAAAAATGAACACTTTCAAAGCACACTGGGTATTATTCTAATGTGCTCCGCACCCAAACAAGACCAAATTTTGTCAGTCTGGACCAAATCTGAACCAATCATAGATGTCCATGTTTCACAGTACAGTACAGCACAGTATAGTAGAGCATAGTAGAGTACAGTAGTGTCCAAACTTGTGAAATATCGACGTCTATGTTTGGGTAAAATCAAGGCCAGGACGGACTGACCAAATTTGAACCACTTTTCTATGTGCATTGATGTCCGGCGTCGGTCGGTGCTCAGTGGGCTCTCCATTCATAATTGCCTTTATCTCGCTTTCAGATGAATCGACTTGTGGTTATCGTTGCGACACTCTTTGTCCCCACTGCATACAGTGCTGCAGGTGGTTGTAAGTGATTATTTTATTATTTTGTTGGCCTGTGACTCTTCTATCCATTTTGTGACTCTGCATAACTTTTTCCCTTCTTCAATTTTAACAGTGTGGTGTTACCATGATCCTAGTTGTGGTAAGTATTGGTTTTACCCCCCTGGTTACGTTGGAATTTCTATTCATAATTTGAAGTGATTGTGATGCCGGTGTATAATAGACTATAGAATTGATGTATTAGCATATTATATTACCCTTATAAAACTATGGTACATTGACACCATGGTATGATTGATTCCATGTTAAGATGACACCACTTGGTCCACCATTGCCAGTGAACAATGCAATGGATCCCGTCAGTCTCCCATCAACATCGTCTCTGCGTCGGCAGTGGGTGACACAACCCTGACTGCCTTCACCTTCACCAAATACGGAGACAACACCACAATGAAGAAGATCAAGAACACAGGCAAAACTGGTGAGGAGAATGGATGGATGCCTTGCCTTCTCAATCCATACACACAAAGTCCCCACTTGAGGATAATGTAACAACCAAACCAGGAACCCTAATGTGAGAAATGGAACCAATTCCTCTCTTTTTGTTCCTCCTCTCTTTCTTTCAGTCAAAGTGGAGCTGACAAGTGGTGTCCAGGTTACAGGCGGGGCCCTGTCTGAGGCCTATGACAGCCTGCAGTTTCACCTGCACTGGGGCAACGGTACCTCAGTCCCTGGGTCGGAGCACACAGTGGATGGAACCCGCTACCCCATGGAGGTATGGGAAGGTTCAACACAACACACACCACCCCACCACCCTTCATGGATTGGTGCAAGCATGGCTGGAGGGAGTTTCCACCATATTCCAAACACTAATCCATTCATTTTAAAGTTATGAGTGGAAGTGTATTTGTACACTTTGGGAGAAGGGTAGAGAATCTGAATGTAGCCCATGTCACATGGGGTGACACTTCTCATACTGATGCACATATAACATACTGCAATGGATCAATGTCAAGGACTTCATTTAGCCTTAGTCCAGACAAACAGCAGCCCCACCACTTGGTTTACTATAAAGCTGACGGATGGGGAATTGTTACCACTCTCAAATTCATAGATGGTGCAATAGTTCGACTGTTGTACTGAGCTCATGAGGCATTTATAAGTTCTGTTTCTCAAGAATCAGTGGGCATATACCATTAATTGAAATTACCCTTGAACAGCTGTAAATATGGCAGATTGTAGGCTACCTTTTTAAATGTATCATTCCAACGTTTGTATTTTCCAATGGATTCAGATAACTTTTTAGACCAACTGTTATGCTTTACCTTTCAGTTGCACATAGTAAATGCCAAGTCTTCGCACAACGGTAACACGACCTCGGCCGTTGCAGACAGCACGGGACTGGCTGCTCTTGGCTTCTTCATAGAGGTGAGCGGATGCTTAACCTTCCTAGAAATGTTATCAATTTTTCCATAGTAGATTGGCATTTAAATGTTTTATTGCAGTTTTTTATGACTAAAGTCTTTGTTTTTCAAACAGGCCATGCCGGGTAATGCGACTGGTTCACCAGCAGCCTGGAATACTCTGACATCCTACTTGGCCAACATCACACTAAAAGGTGAGAGCAGAAATTTGACTGGCTCTGATTTGATCAAGAACTAGTTTCTCAAAATATTTCCCTCAATTTGGGATTAGTTTTTCTCTTTTGAATTCAAAATAAGTAATTTTCTTGTTCCATTTCAGTAGCATATGATTTTAGTATACATTTTATCTCTCTATCTTCCTCAAGATGAGCATGTAAACATTACTCATGCTATTTCATTGGATGAGCTCCTGGAAGGGGTGGACCGTACCAAATACTACCGTTACCTTGGCTCCCTGACCACTCCAAATTGCAATGAGGTTGTGGTTTGGACCGTGTTCAAGGACCCTATCAAAGTCAGCCAGGACTTGGTGAGTTTGTGCAACAATTTCATAATAAACTGAACACCATTTCTACTCACCAGAAAGAAGTCATGAACATACAGATCCCATATCTCAAATTGAGCCAGTTTCACACAGCAGGAAATAGACCTGCAGCAACAGGAATTATGGATTGTTATGTGTATTATAATTAAAGGAAAATTTTTCTAAGGGTTGCGAAAAAAATTGTTAGGGCAAATCAAGTCGGAAATTTTAATGTGGAGATTACAAACTGTAGAAGCCTTTTTAAACCTTGAGTACACTAAAAGTTGGCATTTCGCTCTGTGCAGGAAAATTCATATGCACGGCGTATGTACACACGTTTTAGGAATTTCTTATTTTCATCACATTTTTAACCAAAATGCAATGACATGGCGTAAAGTTATTTTTGTGATCTATTTATGTATTTACTTGGAGAGCAATTGCCTCAAAGTTCAGTTGATTTCACATTACTTGGCAGCTCAACTAAAACTAGATGTTGATGAACTGACGTCTATGCCCAGTGGGTAAAGCCATTGGGTCAGCCTGATGTCACACTTATGTCTTTGATCCAATCTGCAATTAATTAACCTTCTCCCCTCAGATTGATCTCTTCAGCACAACATTGCACACTGACCACAACGCCACCTCTGCCTCAATGACCAACACCTTCAGGAACATCCAGCCTGTCAACGACTGGGTGGTGACAACCCAGGGCCGCACAGCGTCGGGAGCCTCCACAACGTGCTCCTCTCTGGGCCTTATGGCCCTGGCCTGCATGCTGCTGAGGGTTTAGTGTCGGAAAGTAACGCCTCACCTGAAGTGCACTTCCATATCTCCATGAACCCTCAAGCTACCAACATATTTACCTTACATCGATTACCAACAGGGGTCATCTTGACCCCAAGGAGAAACTATTGGAAAAAGCAACAATCATAGCGAAATGTGTTAACTTATTTATCTTCAAAACATAATTATTTATAAATGTAATTAATGTTATCTGAAATAAAATGACCTAAACCGACTGTTATTTTAGCAAAAAGAAAAAATACATGTGTCCTTTATATAATGTGCATCTTGAGTACAATCCACCTTAGTACTAAAACGCATATCTACCATCATTTGATTAAAGTATCATTTAGTTTTCAGAATTTTGAAGTAGATATTAGTGTTGTCATATTAATAATAATAAATAATAATATGCCATTTAGCAGACCCTTTTATCCAAAGCGACTTACAGTCATGTGTGCATACATTTTTATGTATGGGTGGTCCCGGGGATCGAACCCACTACCCTGGCGTTACAAGCACCATGCTCTACCAATTGAGCTACAGAGGACCACATTAATGTGGTAGTACACAAAAATTCAACATAATACATTTTACAGACAAATGTAATTCAATTTACTTTTAAAAGTGATCCTGAGAGACATTGACCAAAGATATGGCTTAGTTTTCTTTTTTTTTATTAGCATTGCTGTTGGTGAAACAATGGGAGTTGTAGGGGTCATGGCAACATGCTTGAAAATACATGCCAGAATCCTCTAAGTCACTTCAAATCAAATGGTATAGCACCCACAATGTCATAACAAGTTGCAAATGTATAATACTGGAGAATATTAAAGGAATTCAGGTATTCATAACATTTTCAGTAGAATAGAAAAATATCTGAGAATACACACCAATAAACACACTGTGTACATTCAGAGTGTAGCTGGTTTCTGTATTATAGTTCCTCCAAGTATTCATACCACCGACAGACTTTTATGAGTTGGTTTGATTGCAACTAAGCATACATCTAAGGTAGTTATGATTTTGATGGGGATGTTTTATTATTATGCTAACTTGATTTCTACGGGGCTGTGGAAATCGACTCTAGAGGGTTAAGCAATATAATCCAGCCAACCACCTGCAGCTGTATGCAAGGTTCTTTATATCAAGTAGCCAGCAAAGACGGCAACATGTAGCCTATTGACCACACCTGACGCCGTCATAACAAACTAAAATGGGGCATGGTAATCTCTACATATTCCCCCAAATGCTTCTGGAAGAAAAGAAAAGACCAAACAGTATCTCTTGCAAAACAACACTTTCAAATTAAAACATCAATATCAACTAAGAATATAAAAAATGATATATAAATGATGTATGAATCACATTATCCTATTTCCCCCTTTGATTCATAACATCATACTAAAATCGCACTAATATTGAAAATATTTTTTTTGAAAAATGAAATAATCAAAAAGGATATTTATCCATCAATACTCCATCCAGTCCCACTTGTCCCTCTTCATCCAGATCAGGAACAGTCAACAACGGCATCTGAGTGTTGTCTCCAGGCATCACAACTCCAACCTATTGTCACACTCTGGTTCTAGGACTTTTTGTGTTTAGTCAGGGTGTGTAGATTTCCGTGTGTTGTGTACTGTGGGTAGTGTCTAGGTGTTCGCGTTCTATGTTTGGTCAGTGACTCCCAATCGGAGGTAACGAGTGTCAGCTGTCGGCTCGTTATCTCTGATTGGGAGCCATATTTAAATGTCTGTGTTCACCTTGTGGTTGTGGGTTTTTGTTCTTTATTCAGTCGGTGTAACTGAGGACGTCACGGATCGTGTTTTGTTTTGTCGTGTGTTTCAAAATTAAAATCATCATGTTCACTCCCAACGCTGCGCTTTGGTCATACTTCATTGGCGATCGTGACACCTATCTCAATATCATAGCTTTCTCAATGGTCAGTAACAAATCACAAAAGAAAACATCACACACAGTGCTATCAAAGCTGCCATTAAAATCTGAACCATCACTGCTCCCACTGGGCCTAACTAATCTTTCAACCAAGACTTCACTGACCATCCAGCTCCTTCAGATCTACCAAATGCATCCCTTATATTCTTCAATGCATCTATAACTATCTGGAATCAAAGTATAGGTAATATTATCAATATGATCTTCCCAAATTTTACACCATACCATGGAAAAATCCCAGTCCCCACTTCTCTCCTAGACTTATCCTCCAATGGTAGGCTTCAAGACTATGAAATGTCGCCATGTCTCTTTTCACCCTATTTCCAACCCTAGATTCAGATTTATCTGTGTCCGGTGCTACCCCTCTTTTAATTCCTCTGTGTATTATTTACTGTTGGAGTGGCTACTGTAATATACTTCCCCTGAACTCCTTTTGTGACTGTGGAAGCTTCAACAGACTTCAAATCTTCCATTATACGCGTCACTTTACGAATTACATAGCCTTTTAACCAATAATTCTTAACCGGAACAAATTTTAATGCTTGCACTAGATAAGTACACATATATTCTCCCTGATCTTTCTCTGTAACATTACGCAAAATAAGTGAACAATCACTCATAACCCTCTTCCACTTCATATCGTTGTACAAACTATACTTCCTTTGACTAGGTGCAACAGCTTCTACTTCTGGTCCTGATAACAATACTTCTTCTCCATAATTATCTCTCCATGTGGGAGGAACGTCACCATCCCCACTCCATCTCTCACAGCTACAAGGAAGATGAGCTGTATCACCCATCCTAACCCTAATAACAGTCTTTTCCTCTAAAATTGGTGCTGGAGCTATCTGCTCCCTTGTAATCAAATGCACTATATTTATGGCTTTAATAACTATCAATGTTGAAAGAGTTAAATTGCTTCTCACTGTTGTTATAATAGACTAAAGTGTTGATGTCATTGTCGTTGTTTCATCTAGTTTCCCCAAAGCTTTGAACTCTTTACTTGTACTTCCATCTATCACCACTAGTGTCACTACATTCACTCTCAGTCCCAACTCTAAACCCTCACCTTCAAACTTTTGATTATAAAAAATACACCTACAATTACCTTGATCTTCCTGCTGGGAATTGTAAATATAGATACCCAATCACCCTCAATCTTCTCTTATCATTCAGCAATGCATACTTTCTCAATGCATCTGCTCCTAACAGATCTAAACTCCTACCATATCTATCTTCCCACTAAACTCTAAAATGTCCTTTACCACTGTTCTCTCTCTCTTACTAATAACTTTGAAACATAGCTTACTGTCCTAGAGTTCCTTCAACCCTAGTTCTCCTAACTTTTTTTAATCTAATCTTTTCTCCTAACCTTTAAAAACCTTTCCACTGATTTATTCACAAAATCCTTTTACCACCAATTTTTTGAATATGTGATCGGGAAGTCCCCACCTGCTTATGACTTCTTTACACACAGACTTGGCAAACGATCAAACATCTTTTAGCCTAGTTTGAAATCTCTTGGTGTAGGAATGTAACCAAGAATAACCGTCACCCCTTTTAACCTTATTTTCAGACAGATTGTCTAATAGGCAGTCTAATAGATTCCCAAAAACCCTACTCTTTTAAAATCTTCTACCAGACAGCCTTTAGTGTACATCTTATTGTACAGTTCAATTTACACAATACATCTCTTCCCAAGAATGCAATAGGTATATGTTCTGATACCAGTATGTGTATTTTAATTTCTCTTTGATTTTTTATAGCAGAGCTCAATTGGTTCCTTAAGAGTAATCAACTGTTTTACCTTCTCAAATCCCTATCCTAATTAGTTAATTTTACATAGTGAGATGTTTAACCTCTTTAGGCTCAACACAGATAAAAGCTTTTCCTCTATTCACCATCACTTCTCATAGTCCTTTTTATTTTCACTTCAATTGTTGGATATTTTCCTTCTTCTCCCTAAATCGGTGCTATCAGCTGACACCCCCCTTCGGATCTTCTAGGCACTCTAGAATCCTTGCTCCTTTAAGGGTTCACCTGGAGAACAGGTGATCTTCACTTGCTCCTTTATCTTCCTCAGAAATTTCCTCTGTTGTTTCCTCCTGACGCATTGCAATCACAGGTAAAGTGACCAACCTGTCCACAATTATAACACTCTTCTGAAAGTTGCTGGAAGTGTGGCTGAAATCTTCCTCCTCTTCTAAGCCTTCTCGTCCTCTTCCTCTCCAATTCTGTGTCTGTCCAGAAACTGGCTGTGGATATGGAACACCTTGTACCGCCATTGGTGGCTGATACAATTGCATTTGACCTTGTTCAGTTGAAGCTGTAGCAGTGATTGTTGATTTGGTTCACTCTTATTCTTCATAACCAAAGCTTGTTTCTTCTCCTTCTTATTCTCCACCAGTTGTATTTGATTGAGTTTTCTGAGAGTTTCTTGGTCCTGTTCTTTCTTGTTGTTGACATATCAGTATTCTTCAACAGCTTATATTCTAAGGTTTGCCCTCGAAATATCATCTTCCATCATCTTCTTACTTTTCTCTCTTTCCTTGGCCTCAATGTATTCTTCTCCTCCCATTCTTGGGATCCTTTTCCCAGCAGTTTTTTTTCTTCTGTATCTTCAGCCTCTTGAGTTGTTCTTCAGTTCTCGTTGTCTCTTCTAAATTATTCCCCTTATCCAGGCATGATACGCATCGGTCTATATCTCTTTCTATTTCTTCTGTGCTAATCATTGTTGAATAAAATCCTCTTGAACATAAAGCACCTTTAATCTCCAAGTCTTCATCTTTATCTTCATCTTTCCGAACCTCATTCTTCTCTTAGTTTCCAGACATCTCGGTTTTTTTTACTTCTGGAGTTTTGGATTCATTTTTATTGTTGTTTCTGCTTGTCCTCTCTCTATTATTGGTTCATCTTCATCTTCATCTCTGATGCAATAATCACCCTCCTGGATGATCACCGGAAGCTGAGGATAAACATCCCTAAGCTCTACTTCCTTCTCATAAGGTGGGGGTCTTTTTGCTGAATCCGTATGTGAGAAAGGTATACTGACTTCTGCCATTAGTTTTTCTGTTGCCTTCTCTTCCTTTAGCATTTTCTCTATACCTTTGTTTATCTTATCGCTGGAATCTTTTATCAGTTTTTGTTTGAGAATGAAGGACAACTTAAGAACACCCTGCTCTCTTTGTGTCTTTTCTTTACGTTGTTCCCTTTTTTCCCTTCTTTTGATCTGCTTTATGAATTGACAGAAGCACTTTCATTATGTTGATTACGTCAAGGTTAAGATTCCCTCTACTAGCTATGGTTTGTTCAATGTCAGGCCAACTTTTTTTATTTTTTGCCCCAAATCAATCAATAAAAATA